GCATGTGGCCTCGGCCTTGCAGACATCATAATGAGGGTAAAAATGCAAGAATTTTATCAATTGGGCTCTCCTTTGCATGCGAAAGCAGGAGCGGCAGAGAGAGGGTGGGGGGGGGGGGGGAAGAAATGAGAAGGAAGGAGGGACGAAACTACTAAAGCAGTCGTAAACTTAAAGCTTCTAAAGGGAACAACTATTTACTTCCTTAAAAAAAATTGGGAAAGGGGCCAAAGAAGTTTTCGTATCTCTCTGCAATAGCATATCGAGTTTGCATTGTCCAAAATGTTCATAGTTAAACTCAAACAGAGATTATCTTGAAACCCATTTTGGGAGTAAAAGGTGTGATCACGTTGGATAGAAGTTGACAACATGAAAGGCAGGTCAAATACTCAATGAGACGTTCCAAGTTCATTTTAAGAGATGAAAATTGGGGGTCGACAGACTGCCAAACTGTTATTTTAGTCGTGTGAGAGCTTCTCACACCATCCACGGTATTAGAAAAAAATGTTAACATCTGGGTGAAAGGCGACAGGGAAAGACGAACACCTCGTCAGGTGTGCCACTGGCACGAGGAAGGTGCACTCTGTATTGTCGCAACCTCGGAGAGGAGGCAACATTAACAAATCTCGATCAGTGTATCCATTCATATCACCTTGTCTCCAATCCAAACCTCTGTTCAGAGTGACTAAGACGTGTCAATAGTGGGATTAAGGGGAAGCAACCCGTCTCAAATTACTCAGACGGTACTCAGCCCTCATTTAATCAACTGAACTTCAATGAACACCCGCTAGAAGGTGATTGGACAAACACAAAGCAGGGTTTTCAGCTGTCAATCTGTGTAGGTGAATAAAGGAAGGATACGCAGATGAGTGTGACTGCTATGAGTTGGACCAGCAATTTTGTGCCAAATGAAAACCGTTAATTTGGATACACCAAGTTCCCAATTCACCACATTGGTTGCACACCAAAGTGACCAATCAGATGGGAGGAGACACCACCACCCGCAAGAATTAAACTCACCGCTGATTGGTGGTCCACATTGACATCCCCATTGAGGAGGAGACTAGCCGCCTTGACGTCGTCCTTTTTCGCAGCGATGTGAAGGGCAGGTAGACAGACCTTGCCACGTGCATCAGATTCGAGAAGGACTGCCACAGTGCGTTCATGACCTTGTTGAAGGGCTACAGCCAGTGGTGTAAAACCGTCCACCGTGGTGATGCTGGGATTCGCTCCATTGGCCAGTAGGAGAGTCACCACCTCCAAGTGGTTCTCTTGAGCTGCCATGTAGAGTGGCGTAAAGCCATTCTAAGGAAATGAGGAATGAGTTAACTAATCTCTTCGGGACCTCACTGTCTCAAGAGCACAAAGCGATACGATTGAGAGAAGCCGTCAGTCCTCTTGTAGTTCGACCCTCCATGCATTATGGCAACACCGATGGTGTTTTGACCGACTAAAAGAACCATCCTTTCCGCTTTATGATTTGACCTAAACCTCAAAGTCAGTTTGTCCTACTGCAGATTGTGGGTCAGTGCAGGTCAGTTTGTCCTGATGGTACAAAACTCCTCTTGTCACTAGTATTGCCAAACTCTGGGGCTATTACGCCTTCAGCACATCATTTAAGGTATGGCCCGATCATTGAGTGATTAACCAAGTTCAAGGTCAATCACCTCTTAGTAAAGAAGACACTTGGAATGTTTAAGGTTTTGC